ACAGCACCCCCAGCCTGTCACCGCCCATTTCAATAGCTCCATCTGTGCAGGGGGAGAAGATGTGTGGATCTAGGGGGGAGGGGAGAGGAAGATGATGGCTGGGCAGGGGCAGGAGATGTCAGCAATAGGATATGGAGGCTTCTCCTTTCATCCCCATGGAAACTTGGCTAAAGTCAGAGACGGCTGAAGGTCGTTCCCACCACGCGATGTCCATTTGCAGGCCTAGGGCAATGCGAGTCCCATTCCTGGTGGGCCACCCTGGTGTGAGATGGCTGCCTTGCCCAGGAGCCCCTGCTCCATGGCTTTCTTCACTCCCCAGGCCCACGTGAGGAGAATCTCAGGCTGCCTGCACCGGCTGCAGCCCTCTCCCAACCAGCATTGGAGGGTGTGAATTCGGAGCCGCCCCTCGCCGTCTTACCATGTCGGCAGTGCAGGGATAGGTCTTGCGCCCCTCCACGCTCGCTTGGCAGTTAAACAGGGACACCCCCAGCTTGGCCAGTTCCTCTTCCGACAGGTCCGTACAGGAGGAGTGGATCTGGGCAATAACCTGCCAGCAGCAATGCGGAGAGGAAGGAGCACGTTAGGGCTTGTGATTTCAGCAAGCTGGTGCCTCCTACCCCACTGGCCCTTCCCAGGTGCAAGAGAAGGTAACTCATCATCTGCAGGTGACATGTGGCCTCTGCCCCTAGACGTGCATTTTAAATCCTCACCCCCAGCCCCACGATAGGAGAATCATAAATGCTGGGCAGTGACTCAATGAGGAGACCTCAGTTCCTGGGGTTCACCCTTCCCCCCCCCACCTCCTCCTCTTGCTGCTGCTGGTTTCCTCCATGCCCCATGATTAGCTCGGCAGCACCCAGAGGCACGCTAGGCGCCCCACAACACAAGGGGACAATCCCAACCCCCCTGGGCCCCTCCTCACACGGTCCCTCCCTGTGAAAGCGCAGTCAAGCCAGCTGGTGCCCTTCTGTCTCTGCTCCCCTGGAGATGTCCCCAGCCCATGCCTCTTCACTGCTAAGTCCCTCCTTCCCCCCCCCCCCCCACAGCGGGCAGCTCCTCTCCCCCTATCTGAGGGCAGCTGTTTTCCCTCCCACCAGGCCGGCTGCCCCTACCCACTTCTAGCTGCTCTGCAAATGTGGAAGAGCCTAGAAGCCTTCAGAAGCAGATTGACCAAGGAGCCCGCACCATGTGCCCCGCTGGCAGCCCCAGGCCAGCAGCAAGGGCTCTGCCCACGAACAGCTACACAGCACGGCACTGTTAATACACTGGACAGATAAACATGTCGCATGTCCCTCAGGCCTCCCGGCAGGGAGGAAAGATGTGAACATGCCGAGGTCATGTGGACCCGCTCCAGGGTTGGGGAGCGTTCCAGGGGTAGAGGGGGTGGCCTGGAAGAACATCTGGAGAGGTTGGTTGACAAAGCGGACAAACAGGGTAACCCTCTTCAACGTCAAGGTTCCTCCTCCACCAGACGCCCTTTACAGGAAACGAGCCAGCTAACGAGGGGCGGGGCAGCTGAGGAGAGTTCCTACGGACACCTGCAATTTGTGGCCACATGGAACAGTGACACCATCAGTCTGACCACCCTTGCTTGGTTGTCGGCTCCCTCCTTCCCCCTCCCCCACTCCCTTTCACTGCTGCTCCATTTAGGGCCTGATCATGCAAACATCTATGCACAGGGAGCAATCCCACTGAGTGCAAGGGCACTGCTCCTGCACCCAGGGAAGCACATGCAGGAGTGCTGGCAGGATCTGGACTTTGGATGGCAAGTGCTTTGGGGCACGGGCCATTCTCTCCTCCCTGTCTGGACAGCCCCAGCCCCTTTAGGGCCCTCCTGCAATGAAGAGATACAGTGACACCTTGTGGTGACAAGAGTCCAGTGGAGACAGATCCAGATGCCTGGCCTCAGCGAGGAATCGCTCATCCCCCGTCGTCATCTCAAAGGGAGCATTAGAGAGACTCCTTGAGTCCGGAGCTGGTGTCGGGGGGACGGGGTCTCTTCCTGGAGCTGCTCCCTGCCTCAACCAGCCAAAAAATCCAGAGGAGGGAGCGAAAAGGAGGGAGAGGAGAGTTGGAAGGAAGAGAGTCCGGCGGTCAAAGGGCAGCATCTTGGGGCACGGAGGGGGATCCTGCAGGGAGAGAACAGAGAGAGTTTGAACTGAGAGGAGTCTGGGGAGCCCCAGCCGTTGAGCAGCAGCTCCACATCCAATCCCCCTGCATCCCTCACCACTCCCCGACCTCAGAGAGCTGAGCCTGGCTCGGTTAGGAGGCCACTACACGGCAGGACCTGCACAGAGCAATGGTAAATGGCACGGTATTGAGCTGCAGAGCGGGGCCCATCCAGGAGCTGGCGTGGGACTGGCCCTAACCTCTTCCACAAGCTCCAGAAGAGGGGAGCAAACAGCACAGGCCTGATGTTACGATGACAACAGCTATGCTGTTGGTGTGCCGAGGCTGTGGCCTGCCACGCCGACCGCATTGTCTCGCTGTTGCCTTGTACTCCCCTGTCTGTACCCATCTGCGATCTTGTCTCATGCTTAGATCGGAAGCTCTTTGGGGGCAGGGACGTGTGCTAGGGGCTGCCACAAACACAGACAATGCCACATCTGGGGTTCCTAGGTGCTGCAACAATACAAATAAATAACAGAGATGTCTGTGACACTGAGTTGAGAGGTGCCCAGGGGCTTACGGTTCCTCCCTGATTTCTTCCTGTGTATGTCCTAGGGGCATCCGGGAGAGGAAGATTAATGGTCAGATAGCTAGAACTAACACAAAAAAGAAAAGGAGGACTTGTGGCACCTTAGAGACTAACCAATTTATTTGAGCATGAGCTTTCGTGAGCTACAGCATCTGATGAAGTGAGCTGTAGCTCACGAAAGCTCATGCTCAAATAAATTGGTTAGTCTCTAAGGTGCCACAAGTCCTCCTTTTCTTTTTGCCAATACAGACTAACACGGCTGTTACTCTGAACTAACACAGAGGGTCTGGGGCTCATGGAAACTAACAGCCCCAGCATGCTAAAGTCCCACGTTGATACATGCTGGGTGGGATCTAGAGTCTCCACAGGCCACACAACTGCATGCACCCGCCCCGGTCTCTCCGTTATACAGAACGTTATGCTCCTAGATGCTGCTGGCAACGTGGCCCTCAGCGAGGTAACATTCGGATACATTCTCCAGATTTTCCTACAGCTGGTTTTAAGCGAAGTGAGCCAGGCTGCGAGGGTAGGAGCCTCGGGTAGCTAGCGATGATGGTGCCGCTGCGTACCTGCTATCGCAGCTCTCATTTCACAGATAGGATTGTAACATGAACGATGCTAAAGCCACCCAGGAGCAATGGAGATCGGCTCCCAGGCTGCACGCTCTTCCCTATCCAAGATATCCTTTTAATGAGAAAACGTCTCCTTCTTGGTAGGCTCTGGGCCTCAACTAATTCCCTTAACATTTAACCCCTTTGGATTCTTTTTAGCCAAGAGCAGCACGCTTCCGGAGGCCTTCGAACAGGGCCCAGGAGCCCCGACTCCCAGTCCCCGGCTTTAGCCACGCGACCTGGGGTCTCGGGGTCTTTGAACAGCGACCTGACAGAGCTCGTAAGGGAACCGACTGGCCAAGGAACGAAGCTGCTCTTCGGATCCAGAAGCCGGGACGCCGGCCACAGCCCCGGCCTGAGCCAGTGGCTGCAGGACCAGACGCCCCTTTCTCGGCGGGGGGGGCGGAGGGGGCAGCAGGGCCCGGGGCGGGGGGGGAGGGGGCAGCAGGGCCCGGGGCGGGGGGGGCAGCGGGGGGGGCAGCGGGGCGCTCTGGGCGCTAATCCCGGGGCGGCAGCTGCTGCCGCTGTATGGCTGGGAGCGGGGCCGCGGGCGGGGGGGGAGGGGGCAGCGGGGGGGGGCAGCAGGGCCCGGGGCGGGGGGGGACAGCGGGGGGGGGCAGCAGGGCCCGGGGGCGGGGGGGGACAGCGGGGGGGGGCAGCAGGGCGCTCTGGGCGCTAATCCCGGGGCGGCAGCTGCTGCCGCTGTATGGCTGGGAGCGGGGCCGCGGGCGGGGGGGGAGGGGGCAGCGGGGGGGGGGCAGCAGGGCCCGGGGCGGGGGGGGACAGCGGGGGGGGGCAGCGGGGCCCGGGGCGGGGGGACGACAGCGGGGGGGCAGCGGGGCCCGGGGCGGGGGGGGAGGGGGCAGGGGGCCGGGGCGGGGGGGGGGGAGGGGGCCCGGGGCGGGGGGGGGGGGGGCAGCGGGGCCGGGGCGGGGGGGGAGGGGGCAGGGGGCCCGGGGCGGGGGGGGGGAGGGGGCAGCGGGGCCCGGGGCGGGGGGGGGGAGGGGGCAGCGGGGCCCGGGGCGGGGGGAGGGGGCAGCGGGGGGGGGCAGCAGGGCGCTCTGGGCGCTAATCCCGGGGCGGCAGCTGCTGCCGCTGTATGGCTGGGAGCGGGGCCGCGGGCGGGGGGGGAGGGGGCAGCGGGGGGGGGCAGCAGGGCCCGGGGCGGGGGGGGGACAGCGGGGGGGGCAGCAGGGCCCGGGGCGGGGGGGGGACAGCGGGGGGGGCAGCAGGGCGCTCTGGGCGCTAATCCCGGGGCGGCAGCTGCTGCCGCTGTATGGCTGGGAGCGGGGCCGCGGGCGGGGGGGGTCGGGGGGGGACCCAGAAGGGCCCGACCCCATCGTTCAGACCGGCCTCCTGCCTGGCACGGGCCAGAGAGCCCCAGGCCAGTCCCCCGCCCACGGCTGGGGCGTAAATACAGGGCTGCCCCGGTGTGACGTGAAGACTCCATGGGGGGGGATCTGCCCCCCGCTTTGCACGCCCCCCCCCAGCATGGGGAGAAGGACGCCGCCCCTGGGGGGAGCGCTGGGAGAGGGACCGGGCTGGGGAGAGATGGGGGCGGGGCTGCCTCCCCCCCCCCCGTTAGCATGCGCACCCCCCAGCACTGCCCACGTGGGGAGGAAAAGGGGGGCAGGCCCCGCCCCATCGGGACCCCACGTGGGCCAGCCACGACTCTCACCTGACGCCGCCCCCTTAGAGAAGCAGCGCTCCGCCTCCCGGGCCCCCTATGAAACCGGCGCCCGCTGACATCACGCCCGGCGCGGCCAATCGCGAGGCGGAGGCGGGGTCAGGCGGCGCCGGGGAGGCAGACGGAGCCCCGCCCCACGTGCCTGGGCGCGGGCCGCTCACGTGCGGGAGGCGGCCCGGGATGGAGGCGCGCGGGGAGCTGCGGGTCGGGTTCGTGGGGGCCGGGCGCATGGCCCAAGGGGTGGCGCGGGGCGCCGTGCGCGCAGGTAGGGCGCGGGGGGCGGTGCCGGCGGGGGAGGGGTGGGACTGCCCCCCCTCCCCGCCAGCCCCCCCATGCTAGCCCCCCCCCCTCCCCGCCACTCCATGCGGGGTCCCCGTGTCATCGGCCCCTGCCCCACTGCAGAGGGCCTCCCCCGCACGAGCTGTCCCTGGGTAGCCCGGTGCCTCGCCCCAGAGGTGGCTGCATCTCAGCGCTGGGGTCCCTGTATAGCCGCCCCGCGGGGCAGCTGCACGTGGGCGCTCCGTGCGTGAGCAGCTGCCAGGCCCAGCCCTGTGTTCCAGAGCCCCAAGCCAGCCGTGGCCACGTCCCTCGGCAGGCCCCTGCTGGCTGCACCCCTCCTCCCGGGAGTGGCTGTGCGAACGGTTCCAGGATCGGTACCTGCCGTGCCCAGCATCAGCACCCCTGCGGGGGGCGTCTCTGCGCAGGCCGGTTCCTCCCCGGCGCTGGGATCCGATCCCTGGGGAGCGAGGGCCTCGCAGAGCTGCCTGGTTGTTCCCCTGGTGCTTGCCGCAGAGGTGTCACTTGTACCAAGGCCGTCCCAGCTCTGCTGACACCCGTGCCCTCATGTGGTAAAAGTAAGTTCCCTGCAATCACCTGGCATCGCTGCCCACAGAGCACACGGCCCCTGTTTGCCCAAGCGTGGCAAGCTCCTCCAGCAGCCGTTAGCCTCTCCTCCGGCCTCTTAGCGTTTCACAGCTGTGGGGAATCTCACGCTTGCTGGCGGGCGCACCACCCTTGGGCTGGTTTCTTGCCCCAGCCCGGTCTGGGTGACGGTTCCAAGGTTCAACCAGGTTTGTCTTGGTCTCTCGTCTGAGTGAGTTGGAGGCAACGCAGGGTTGTCTTGATGCATCTTAACGCAGCCGAGTCCCTCTTTGCTCTGTGTTTTAAGGAAAAGTCAAAGCTGCTAACATCTTGGCCAGCGCACCGTCTGACAGGAACTTGGGTGCCTTCCAGGTGAGCGAGGGCAGGCTGCGTGCGAAACGTTGAGTCTCTCTTCCATGGGGCTGGAAGAGCTAATAGTGTCTTGATGTCTGGCAATGGGAGGCAAACGCAGTAGCGGTGCTTGATGCCACTGTGTTGTGATCCCATCAGATCCTGCAAGCTACTAAATTCCTGTGAAGAACACCCAGGTGCCCTGGGAAATGGGGCTGGTGAATTAGCTGGAGGGGGGCTTTCCCTTTGAGTCAATGCTCAGCCCAGGACCCCAGCCTTGCAGTTTAAAGTGCACACCAGTAGTGGATGAAATGATCCTCAAATGGCCCTTCCCCCCCACACAGGGCTGAGTTTCAGTGTCACAAACCATGTTAAGAGCAGGTGGGTGCTGAGTGCTACCGTTGGACTGGTGAATTCCAGCCTGTCCCGCTCTGCCGGCCGGCCCTCTCCAGGCCTTTAACGGTGCCCCATCTCCTTGGGTGGCAGGATTTGGGCTGCAGGACGACACACTGCAACAGTGAGGTGCTGCAGCACTGTACCCTGGTCTTCCTAGCCACCAAGCCTCACCTGCTTCCTGGAGTCCTGCAGGAGATTTCTCCTGCCATTACCCGGGACCACATTATCGTGTCGGTGGCCGCTGGAGTCACTCTTCAGGCCCTGCAACAGGTGAGTGTCTGACGGTCCCTCTTGCCCCGTCCCACCCCCCATTAAACTGTGAGGCAGCTGGCTGGGTGAGTGTCCGGGGCATGCACTTACGCGTGTGAAGGGTTTATATTTGCTTTTATACAATGGCCTGGATAAGAGGGAAAATGCCTGTAGGTAAAGAGAAAAGGAGGACTTGTGGCACCTTAGAGACTAACAAATTTATTTGAGCATAAGCTTTCGTGAGCTACGGCTCACTTCATCGGATGCATTCAGTGGAAAAGCATCCCCTGTATGCATTTGATGAAGTGAGCAGTAGCTCACGAAAGCTTATGCTCAAATAAATTGGTTAGTCTCTAAGGTGCCACAAGTACTCCTTTTCTTTTTGCGGATACAGACTAACACGGCTGCTACTCTGAAACCTGTAGGTAAAGAGCGCTCCAAATCCATGCAGCTCTCCAGTGAGTCTGGTGTGTATACAGCCAGGGCCAGAATGTGTGTGGGGGCAAGGGAGGGAGTTGCAGGGGGCATCCATCCCTTAAGGATACCTACCCTCTCCATCCCAGAGAGGCAGGGGGGTGTAGCAAGGGGGGTCCCAGTATTTTCACCTGGCCTGCTCTCCTCTTCCCCTTCTGCCACGCATGGACTATTGTTCTTGGAAGGGCGGTGCTTGCTACTTCCAGGTGTAATCCGGTCCATTGAGGTGTATGGGGCAGTGCACACCTCTCAGAGCTATTGTCCCAGGCTCGCTGCAGACTCAGGCAGCCATCCCTGTACCTGATATGCCCAGGTAATGTTTTCAAGCTTCCCTTTGCAGTCAAGAGAGCTAGAGACTTTTATTTTTTTTTAAGTGAAAGCTGAAAATGTGAGATAGGCCCATGTCCTGGGCCCCAGCTCCTGGAATCATGGGATTGTCATGCCTATGCCTTAATCCAGCCCTGCCAGGCTGCCATGTCCTGGTTGCCAGCAAGCAGATCAGTTTGTGCCAATTTCAGCAGAGGAGCCAAAGCCCTGGAGCTCAGCACAGGCATACGCCAGCCTGCTTGGTGAGATGCGCTAGCCAGCAAGCGTAATCCCTGGTGGCTCTGTGTTCCTTGTCATCAATCAGCTGACACACAGACCCCCCACCCGGGCTCAGCAAACCCTCCTTCCTAAGTTGCTGTCAATGGTTTTTTCCCCACCCACCTCCACTCCTCCCTGTACGATGTAAAATGATTGCCACAAACTGAGTATTATCCCCTGTGCCCCTCTATCCTGACCTGCAGCCCCCCTGTTATCCCAGTCCTGGACCACACAGACACACACACCCCTTTGCTGCTGCCCCTCAATCCTGACCTGCAGCCCCTCAGCGATCTCAGTCCTGGCTTTCCCTGGCAATCATGCTGAGTTCCTGAGCTGCCTGGTGGGTTTCCCACACTGGAAGGGCTGGGTTAACCCTGCCAGGCTCATGTCCCCTGTGACCTAAGGCACATACTACGCCCTGCGTGGGGACCACTGGGCTGTCTCCCAGCACCTGTCCCCATCAGCAGCAGTGTTCTCCTGGTTTATTGTCACGACCGTCTCTCCCTGCAGCTTCTCCCTGCTGGGACCAAGGTGCTGCGTGTCATGCCCAACCTGCCCTGCATGGTGCAGGAGGGGGCAGTGGTGTTTGCCCGGGGGAGCTGTGCTGGGGAGCAGGAGGCCGCCCTGCTGAAGAGCCTGCTGTCTGCCTGCGGGCTGTGTGAAGAAACGCCCGAGTCCTACATCGATATCCACACGGGCGTGAGTGGCAGCGGGGTAGCCTACGTAAGTGCCCTTGCGCTGGGGCCAGCGTTTCTTAATGCTGCCCTCCAGCCCCAGGTATTTCCCGGTTAATCCTCTGCCAGCCCTGCCAGGGCAGGGTTGTTCCCTCCACCCTGGCCTTTCTGCAGCTGAATACAGTGCTCTGGGTTATCAGTCCTGACGCTTGAGGCTTCTCCAGTGGGCACCCTGGGCTCCCCTTTCTCCCTGAACGACGAATCCCTGGTGCCCTCCCCCATCTCCTGCTGAGCAGTGGGTGCTCATGCCCATGATAGACCCTTGGCTGCCTCTAAACCATGTGATCTTAGAGTGGGGCAGCCTGTGCCCCCTAGTGGGTTAGACAGCACACGGGGGTCCAGGGCTGCTACAGCTGAGCTTAGTCTAGTAACTGGTGCTGTTGCCTATAGAGACTTGGGAATCAGTGGTCTAATGGAGACCAGTTGGAGACCTTAGTCCCTTGCCTGTAACTTGCTTATCGCCCTTCATGGGCGTCTGATTTCTGCCAGGATCCGGATGGTGGCCAGCAGCTTTTGGAAGGGTCTGCTGGCTCAGCACTGCCAGGCTAGCTCCTGTATTAGGATGCCTCCATGTCCCATCCTCCGAAAGCAACAGCAGTATGATCTAGCTGTTCCCTGAATGTCGCCTTTCCCTGCTCCAGGTTTACTTGTTTGCTGAAGCCCTGGCGGAAGGTGCTGTGAAGATGGGCATGCCCAGTGCCTTGGCTAATAAAATTGCAGCCCAGACACTGCTGGTAAGTTTGGACTTTTCTCTCAGTCTTCAGATTCCCCTGCTTAACCACCCCTTAATTGTCCCGTATTCCAGACCTGCCCCCTCCACCAGTCCCCAATGCACCTTTCTTCTGACCTGCAGTTCCCCCATCTATTCCAGTCCTGGGTTCCCCAATGCAGCCTGCAGCACCCTCTGCTACTGCCCATACGGCAAGTGCCCAGAAAAAGCCCTCAGTCTTAGGGAAAACTCCTGTATCACCCTTGTGCCTTGTGGCTCCATCTGCCTTTCCAGTAATTCCTTAACTGTTGCTGTCTTGTCGCACCTTGGTTCCTACCTCCTTAGCTTCTCTGACGGACTCTGCCATTTGAGCTGTGCTGTGATCAGCCAAGTGTGTTAGGGCTCCTCTGGGACCCGTAGGGGCCTTGCTGGTTGAGAATCCTGAGTTCCACCAGTTGCAGTCAGTGCAAAAGATTCCTGGGGACTCATCCAGGACGCGATGGGGCTGAACTGGAAGAAGCAAAGCCTCTTCGGCTGTCCTAGCATGGCCACCAGAGGGAGGAGGTGGCTGCAGCTGCACCGGACAGACCTAGGAAGAGTCAGTAACTGCCCCCAAAGTCCTTCCAGTCAGAGAAACCGAAACCATGGGAGCAGGATACAGCAAAGAGGTAGGATTGGTGTCATGCACAGACTGGGGAAGAGGGCACCTGGGGCCAGCTGCCCCTTAATCTGTGCATTACCAGCTGGCCAATTTCTTGTAGGCATCATATGCTCCAAGGCCAGAAGGGACCATTATCTAGCCTGACCTTGTGTTTAACACAGGCCAGAGACCTGCCCCCAAATAATTCCTAGTACAGAGCTGTTAGAAACACAGCCCATCTGGATTTAAAAACTGCCAGTGATGGAGAATCCACCAAGACCCTTGGTAAATTGTTCCAATGGCCAGTTACCTTAATTGTTAAAAAAAAATATGACTTTATTTCTAGTCTGAATTTGTCTAGCTTTAACTTCCAGCCATAGGATGGTGTTAGACTTTCCTCTGATGGACAGATGAGCCCATTATCAAATATTCTTTCCCCATGTAGGTACTTCTAGACTGTGATCAAGTCACTCCTTAACTTGCTCTTCATTAAGCTAAATAGACTGACCTCTGTCAGTCTATCAGTGTAAGGAAGCAGGTCAGCAATTTACAATGGGGTACATTAGCTGCATTACTCTGAAGAGCGTTTGGCCTGGTTCCCCTTAACTCTTGTATTAATGGCATTCACACCATGTATAACAACGGGAGGCAGCGCTGTCTAGCGATCAGAGCAAGGTGCCCAGGTTGGGGGTTGGGAGACCTGGGTTCTGTTCCAGTGGAAGTGAGCCAGCGGAAGAGTGGGGAAGTTGCTTGCGTCTCTTCCTGGGAAGGGAACAGTTTGGATGGAGCATGGTCTCCCTCCCCCAGCTTCCCAGATCAGAGGGCAGGGACACTTGCAGAACGCGAAGGCACCGCCCCCTGCCCACCCCGCTCTCCTCTGAGCCCGCCTCCTCTTGCAGGGAGCAGCAAAGATGATCCTGGAGACAGGGGAGCACCCGGCCAAGCTGCGCAGCGATGTCTCCACGCCTGGCGGCACCACCATCCACGCCCTGCACGAGCTGGAGAAGGGGGCGCTGCGGGCCACCGTCATGAACGCTGTGGAGGTCGCGACCGTGCGGGCTCGCGAGCTGGGCAAGAGATAGGGCCCCAGCCGGGCGGGGTGTTCCGGGGCGCCTGGCCTGTCTGAGCCACAGAGTTGCTGCCCACATGCGAATCTCCATCCCGTGATGGAAGGAAGTTTCCCAGGTTGTGCAGTGGATGTAGATCCCATTCTTCCCTCCCTAGGTGCCTCTCCCTGCCTGAGGGATTCCCAGCTCCAGGTCACCAGTGATCTCCTCTAGCCCCAGTCTCTCCCCACAGGGCCCGGCTTCCCCACATGCGAGGCAGGGCCCCCTCGTGTTCCTGGCAGTCCCCCGACGGGCAAGTCAGAAGGGAGGGGCTTGACCAGCCCTGCCCCAGCCATGGGGACTTCACACTCATATCCATTCCATACGCATTGGCTGCTCTCTCCGGATGGTGCGTCCCTAATAAATAACGACAACAGCAGGACGTGGGAGCTGCTGTCCCTGAGTCGTGGCTTCTGCTCTCCTTTGTTTAGAGACGGTGCCTGTCTTCTGAAGGCAGCCTTGGCGCCAGGCTCGCTGTCTGCACACTGCTGTTGGGGAAACCGTCCCAACCGGTAAAGTGCAGCCTTCCCGTCTGCCACCTGGTTCCCTGGTGACGATCCGATCCGCCCAGCGTCTCACGTGCTGGTGTATCTGGTCTGGTGGGGGACGGTGTGAGCAGAAGCTGGTTTATAGGATGCTCTTCCTGGGCTGCTGGCTCATGGAGCCTTGATGCAGCCTGCAGCTTCCCTCCCACTTTAGCAGGGAGGTGCAGGTCCCAGCAGCCCCTGCTCCCTCTCAGTGCCTGGGTGAGGGGGGAATTCCCTGTATTCCTGACTGTTTTCACTGGTGGGTGGGTAGGAAATAGGTAGCAGCAGGGGCCTGGGAGAGACCTCAAGCTCCAGCTGCCTGTTAGTGGCTGCACCAGCAGTCCCAGGAGAGCCCCAGCTGGCATGTGGCATAGGAAGCCATGCGTGCCAGCAGCAGGCGGTGAAATAGAGCTGTACTGTGCCCTCCAAGGGTCTGCTGATCTCTTGGCTCCTCTGCAAACTACAGGGTTAATGGTGAAGTCATCACCACCTGCTCTAGTCCATGCAAGCTGGCCCCTGGCCTGAGGGCGAGCAGCAGTGGGCAAAGTCCTGGCAGGGCTGGTCAAAGCAGAATGCACTACAAGAGGAGAAGAAGCTGTTCCATGGCTGTAGGTTGTGTTAACCCTCCTCCTGCTGGAGCATTTTCAGTAAGGGGGGTTGGCACAAATCCTCCATGCACAGTAGCTCCTCCACTCTGCTGCAGGGCCAAATCCGTCACTGCGCACTGTCCTTGGCTTACTGTCAAACCGAAGTCAGGTAGCCCCCACAGCTAAATGCTCGGTGAAACCTGCTATTGACAGAAGCAGGGAGGGAGGCGGGTAACTGGGTCTTCTGGCAGCTAGAAGCGGGAAAGGGAATTTATCTCCTCCCTCCTTTGGGCAGCAGTGACAGTCGGGTAGGGCATCAAAGTATCTCCCCAGGCCAGCAAACCTGGACCAACAGCTCCGCTGCCCTATTGTCAGCCACTCCGTCTGGCAACAGTACCTTGTCTGGATGTGTGATAAAATGCCCAGCAGTGAAAGAGTTAACGATGACATGCAGAGGTACCTGTCGGGCTGTGTTCCGGCTCCACTCCCACCGAAACCTGCCTACCTGCTCCCTCAGAGAATGCACCCCGCGTGCTTTGGCCATCACAAGCTAATGCACGGAGGGCTTTTCCCTCCGTGGCTCTCAAAGGCTGGGTGGCATGATTGTCCCTATTCTACAGCTGGGGAAACCGAGGCACGGGACGGCAAAGTGACACAAGCCAGGTAGGTATCAGAGCGTAGAGCTCTGATCTCCTGAGTGCTCTGCCTCATCTGGCAGCCCGGGTCTTGAGGCCTGCCACCCCACCCCTGCCTGGTGAGCTGGTCTCAGCAGGGAGCTAAGAGCCCCTCTCATATTAATGCAGGGGAACCCACAGCAGGGCAGCGAAGATCCTTCCTGGACTGTGACCCCCGTTTGCTCTGGGGTGGGGTGGGTAGGTGATGCCAGCTCTAAGCCGAGTGGTGAGCTGCAAACAGAAACCAGCTGTGCAGCAAGTGCGTTTGCCCTCGGCAATCACTGACTGGCTGCGCTCCCAGCCCCTCAGTGCATGCCTCGGGGTCTGAGTCCGCTGTTCCCCTAACACAACGCACGCCCCAGGGGAGGAGGATCTGCTGTGTGTGCCCCTTTTCCAAATGGCTCTGAAATGTGTTGCCTGCCCGGCTTCCCCCCCCCACTGCTCCCTCCACGGTCCTTGGGACTCCAGCTATGTAATGCACCTTGGCAGGTAGGTGCTGTGGCAGGTGGCATCATGCAATATTCATATGGCTTTGGAGAATGACACAGATGTGGCCCGGGCCTCCATTTAGGGGCCTGAATAGATGTCCCTGCAAGGCTAGTTCCCATCTCATGTGCCATCCCCCACTCTGTTGGCTTGCTCTCAGCCATGCAGCCAGCCGGCTCTGTTCCACCCCGGTTTGCAGCCCTTCAGGCCTGTGCAGGCAGCTCCTGTGCAGGACTCTGAATGGGCTTCAGGCTGAAATAATGAGCAGAGTGAGGGAAAGGAATAAAGGGTACAGGAGGTAGGATGCAGAGAAGAACACCACAGGTGCTTGTGGGGCTGGAGGGACCATCTCAGGAGGAGATGGGAATCAGTATAGGGCAGGATCTAAAGCCCACTGAAGTCAATAGGAATCTTTCCATTGGCTTTTGTGAGCTTTGGATTGGGCCACCGAGTGGGGGAATTGCAGGAAGTTTGATTTTTTGGGGTCAGAGCAACACCTCCAGAGTAAGAACGGTGGGGGAGGGGATGAGGATCCATCCTCCCCCTCCCATGAGGTTGCACCTGGAGCTGGTCAGGAAATGAAATGTTTTTCATCTTTGTTAACATTTTTTTGAAAAGATTTTCAGGTTTTCATTGAAAAACAGGGTCATTGGGGGATATTGTTTGATTCCCCAGAAAAAAAATCAAATAAAAACTTTATTGAAAACCGACATTTCCTGCAGAAATTTATTTTATGAAAAGGTCATTTTCTGTGTAAGCCAACACCCCAACCCTGTACCTTATGAATGGAAACAATTGCTCAGTGCTGGCTGGCTGCATTTCAGGGGGGGGGGGGGAGTGGTGAATGGGCTGTGGAGCTGAAGTTTTGTCATTCGGAGGGTCGTGAGCATGGCAGTATTTGATAGTCTTCTGTCTTTGCTGTGTGGTTAAAGAGGGCATCAGGCTAATGAGGTGCCTATATCATGGTATTTATAAGGAGGTTTGGAAGGGTTCGATTTATATCAGTAAATATAATTATCAATTTCACCAAACACATAGTTTCTGTCCATTATCAACATTTACAGACAGGCAAAGTTAAAAAAAAAATATTGCCCGAGATTTTATTCGAATTTGAGTCATGGATATTTCCTTTGTATATTTTACCATGTGGTGTTCACAATTTGGGTTTTAACAGTTATGCAGATCTCGCTCTTTGAAGCTCAACATCTACGGTCATCAAATAATTATTGTCTGAGCCCCCTTTGAAACCTGCCCCCACTGATTTCCCACAAATGTGAAAATTTAAATAGATAAAAATTGGGGGAAAAAATGCTTAAAAAACTAAACATTGATATGTCCCATTGAAATTGTAAAAAACCCAGAAGGCTTGAATTCTGCCAAGCTTAGTTGGAAGGCACTTGATCACTGGGGTTGCTAGGTTCTAGTCTCCAGCATTCATTTCTCTGACCCTTGGGGAAAATTCTTAATTTTTTCATCTTTAAAACTGAAAAAGTCAAACGCTTCCCCCTCCCCCATTAAAAACACACACTGACTATTTGAGGAAAGGCAGAAGGATGGGCTGGTGCATGAAGTGCTAGGCTGGGACTTGAGAGATCTGGGTTCAATCCTTTGCTCTGCCATAGCCTCCCTGTGTAATCCATGGCAAATCTGTTCCAGTCCCCATTTGTCAAATGGGGAGAACATGCCTCGTTTTCCCACCCTTCATCTGGCTTGTCTATTTAGATTGTGGGCTCTTCAGGGCAGGGACTGTTTCTCATTGTGTGTCTGTGCAGCTCCTCACAGGGGTCAAGACTGAATTTCTGTTCTGCACAGAAATTCTTTGACCTCTTGACCAAGTTTTTGTTCCAAATTGGAACAGAATCTCAAAAACATGACATTTCCCAGGGAAAAGGACAGTCTGAATTTTTTTCATTTTGCTGCAAAATCGAACTGTGTTGGTTCAGTATCTTTCCGAATGAACTGGAGCAGCCAGCTGACTGGACTCCAGGGGATAGGTCTGGGTCCATAGCTGCAGAAAGGGTAGCCTAGAACGCTGAGGGCCCTGGGCCAACTGGAGCTCCCACTTTTCCTGCTTGGTGGCAGGGGCCCTGGAAGCCCTGCAGTCCACCAGATGAGTGGGTTGGAGACCAGGAAGGTGCTTGCCGGAACCCTGCCTGTTGGTTCACTGGAAGTACGTCAGCCCACTACATCTCTGCAAAATTGGCATTTTCCAACAAAACTCCTGACCAGCTCTACTCCTAGCAGGATGGGGCACTGATCTCAGCTGGAATCCTTTTGCCCTGGAAATAATAATGAGAGGGCTTCTGAATTAAGGAGGAAATGATGTCTGGTTGCAAAGTGCTGAGATGAAATCAGGGGGATCAGCAGTAAATGGTAACTGTGGATTCTATAGCAAGTAGGGGCTGGAGAGCAGCTTGCAGGCCAAACTCAGCTGGGTCAGAGGAAGAATGCATTCCTTTCTAATTAGCAAAAAAAGAAAAGGAGGACTTGTGGCACCTTAGAGACTAACCA